ACTTGAGGCGGTAGGCCTCGGCCAGCAGCAGGCTGATGTCCTCGTCGCCCCAGTGGGCCGTGGGCAGGTTCTGGAGGAAGAGTAGCAGCTCCTGGGGGGAGACAGACAGCCCAGGTCAGAGGGGGTGACCAGCAGGGTGGGGGTGGGAGGGGGGGCTCCCTGCCCAGGGGCCCCAAAGAAACACACCGAGGCCGCAGTGGGCTGAGCAGAGGGGCTCCATGGTTGTCCAGCCCCCATGGATCGTGTCCCCTCCCAGCGCAACCCCAACAGGCCCCAAGCCCTGCAGCCGGAAGGGAGCCCGCGTGTGCTGGGATGCAGAGGGCCATGCCACCGGGCATGTCACAGCCGCGGCCTCCCGTAAGCACTCTCCCAGGGCCCCAGGGTCCAGGCACCACCCCGCTCAGGAGGTTCAGAGCCTGGCTGCTGTGGGCACTCAGGACACAGACCCAGAAGCCAGGCCTGGGCTCGAATCCGGGCAGTGCCGCCTCCTGGCTGCATGGTCAAGGCCGGCCGCTGACCACCCCAGTTCCTCGGGGCCTGAGGAGGGGTCCCAGCTCCCACCTGGGAGCTGGCGCTTGGAGACACGGCGGCCCTGTCTGTGCCAGGCCTGCTGTCCTCACGGCCACTCCCCCGACCTGGTGCAGGGCCCTCTCCCCACTCCCGAACACAAGCCTCTCTGCCGATGTCGCCTCCCTGTTCCTGCTTCCCCTTCCTCCGTCCCATTTCCTTTTGCATTTTGGACACTTTCTGGGGGCCTTTAAATTGAATTCACGGAGCAAATTTCCCTGGCAGAATGTCCCCGGGGACACATTCACATCAATCTGCTGTCTTTCACCATTAGCTGCGACTTACACGGGTGCCAATCCAATTCTGAGCAGGTCGTAAATAAATACCTTTGGTTTATTTTTAATCCACTTCGCTTCATATTATCATGACCTCGCTCCTTGCAAGGTGACAAGCAACACCCTCCCATCACGGTAACTTGCCGACTCCACCGCGCACTCAATTTCAGAATCTAATTTAGTCCCTGGGTTCACTGGATAAAGGGAAAATCGAAATGCCCGGTGCTCCACGGCCTGCAATGCTAAAGAAGGAAAAATCTATCTGGGTGACCTTTACAGGAGGCGGTGAACACAGCCAAACACGCCCTTAAATACAGATTTCTTTCTTTAAAGAGGCCTGTCTTATTTACGCGCCGAGCAGAGGCGTCTCGGGTCCGGGAGCCTCGGCACAGCTCATTCGCAAGCTGCTCTGCACTAACCACATCATTCGGGGAAAGGGCCGTCGGTCAGGCTGCTGGCGCTGGGTCACGTCGCAGGGCACCCGCTCTCCCGGGCAGCGAGGGCCCAGTCCAGCAAACTGGGAGGGCGATTCAGTTTTTAATCGTAACTTTTCCATAAATAGTGCTGTGACCACGTTAGCAGATCTAAGAAGGGGAGGTTTGCTGGCGACACCACTGTCACAGAGAATCGAAATCAGTCAGGTCCCTGGTTTCTTTTCTCCCCACGTTCACGAGACGCTGCCACGGCAACAAGCCATGGCCCAGTGCGCCCAGGCTCCTGCCACCCTTAACTAGCCTGTGTCACCTGTGTCCTTCCACAAAGGCAAAAGCTATCTGTGGTGGTCAGCGGGGGGTCCAGAGTGGTGGCACCGCCCCCGCTGCACAGCCTGTGGCTGGCAGTTCTCAGCCCTAAGCACACGTCAGTCACCCCCAGCCCCACTGAAGGCAGCAGCCCAGATCCCGACTGTCCCTGTTCTCAGTGTGAGGACTGGCTTTGACTGTCCCCTGGACACTGAACGTCACATCACGGGCATGTGGATCGTGGCCGGCCCCTTCCCAGGCGGTGCCCCAGAGAGGCCCCGCCAGCACCTCCCCGGGAAACAGGGAGCCCCGCCGGCAGGCGAGCAGGTGGAGGGGGCGGGCAGAGCTCCCGCCCCGCTGGCCACCATGAACATCACCGCACGGGATATCTTTGAGATGAAATCCTTCCTGCCACTGATTTCCACCTCTGGGCAGGTTCCACGAGGTGAGCCTTCCAAAGTTAAAGCGCAAATAACGGTTACAGCTTTGGGGACTTCTTGCCAAAAGGGTTTCATTTTCCAGAGAGATGAGTCACATTACCACCTGCAAAGTATGATGACCTCCCCGTGTGCACCCGCCCACGAAGGACGGGATGGTGACAGGTGGGTGTCCGGGAGAGTGGACCGGGGTCCCCGCTCAGGGTCCCGGGTTCTCTGTCTGGTTGGCCCCCTGCAGAGGCTCCCACGAGCCTGGCAGCAAGACCACAGCCAGACGTAGAGAACCGGGTCCCGGCCCAGCCCCGCCGCCACCAGGGCCCCACAGCGCTCCGGAGGTGTGTCCTTGCTGTCTTGACCTATGTCATGAGGTGGTCTGTCTCTTCTGTGACATCAACTGGTCCCCGTGTCCCCCACATGAAGCACCCGGGCCGCGGTGCCGACCAGCGAATGGCTGCTCAGGCAGCCGGGCGTCAGCTAAAAGCGCACACCCCTTTGAAGGCTGCTGACCTGCCAGGGTTCAAACCCCAGCCCCGCACTGACCCTCCACGCAAGTCTCGTGCCCCTTGGGGCCTCAGTTTCCTCACCTGTAACGGGGGCAGTAATAGCCCGCCCTCCCGGGGCAGTTAGCACGTGCACAGCACCCCCCGACGGCGCCAGGATGCAACGAGCACAAGGTGAGTGTCACCGCTGCTGTCACTGCTTAGCTGTCACACGGTCATTGTTGGTGGCCGTGCTAAAGTCCCAGCCACAGTAACATTTGGTGCTGAATCAACCGTTTTCCGAGGGAAATGCCAGGTCGTCTGGCAAACAAATTCACGAGGAGACGGAATTCTCCCTGGATGGTTCACTCAGAGGGGGCGGCACCTACGTCTCGAGGGAGGAGGTACCCACAGGGGTGGCTCCACGGGCTGCGGACGGGCCCCCGAGCGGGGAGCCTGCGTGAACAGGCCCCATCTGCTCACTTTGAGGGGAGGCCAAGGGACGAGACAGGACGCTGCTTTTCAGTAACATCTTTGGACCGGATCTTCGAGTTCTGATGTCTGATACAGGAGGTGCTGTGTGCAACTTAAAATGGTCCCGAACTACTGATTAAGCACAAGCTGTTTGGTGCACAAAACAGAAATGCCCCATCACTCCATCTGCCTCGGTGCCAGGACCGCCCGGACCGAGCCGCATCGGGGCAGGTGCCCCTCGCCCACCCAGGTCAGGGATCACACCTGACCCTCGGACAGGACTCTGCAGAGCAGCCTCCTTCAAACCTCTCGACAGCCAACACAACCCTCTGGTGCGGGGGCAAGTCCCAGGTGCCTTGAGGGAGGACCTCGCCCAGGTCCCCAGGACTCTGAGCTCCAGGTCCCAAGAACACACCCCTTCCTCAGTGGACGTACAACTCCCTCCCTGGACGACAGGGAGCAGGTCTGTCTGCTGGAAGAGCAAAGCGCCCTGCACCCTGTCCTGGTTCAGCGCTGGGACAGCGAGGCGGGACCCCAGACAGGGCGGGGCAGAGGCCAAGTGCTGCTCCTGGCTGGCTCTCGCTGGCTGGCTGCGCCTTCATCCGGCGAGGCCAGGCCCAGGCGCCGGTGTGCCCCGTGCCGGCCCACGCTCTGGGCCCCAGGCAGCGGGAGCCAGGCAGCCCCGCCCCGGGGCCGGTGCGCGTGCAGGGTTGCGGGGCATCAGGCAGACCCTACTCAGCTCTGAGCAGGGTCACAGCAGGGCGTGCGGCCGCTGGCTGCTCTCCCCATGGCTCCCGGCCTGGGCTGGCCCCCCCACCACGGGGCCTCCGTGGAGATGTGGGACCACACTGCAGTTCTCAGATACTCAGTCTGAACCAAAGCCTGTGAAATGTTTCTTAACGTTCATGTTGGTCACAGGCTGAAAGAGGTACTGGCTTACACAGCATATAAAGTGAACCTCAACTGTTTCCTCCGTTTCTGTGAGGCTGCCACTCAGCTTAAGCTCTCCCACGTGGTGGGCGTTCCCCTTGCGTGGACAGCACCGCTCTAAGTGCACCCGACGGCGCGGACCAGGCCCCCCTCCGCGAGACCCTCCGGCAGAGAACTTACCAGAAGGCTCCCATCAGCGGCAGCTCCTCCGCACAAGGGGCAGATAGTGCACCGGGGTCAGGAGTGCACTGACGGGCGACGGGGCCCGAGGCCCACATGACCACTCGTTACTTCTCCTTTAACTGAGAAGAAACAGCAGCCCCTGCGCTGACGCACGGGCAGGCGGCAGGCCTAACTGGTCTAATTAACTTACCCACTACATCCCGGTGGTCAATTTGTGCAGCTCGACAGCACACCTACCCCTGAGGTGCCCTGGCCACCTGGGGAGGCTGCAGGGACGCTCGGGGAGC